TGGCATAGTAGGCCCATTTTTTGCTCTCCCCAGCCTCCAGAGCCTTTCTAGAAGTCTGGGGAGGGCAAAAACGGCCTCCCCCCCCCGGAGGCTCTCCGGAGGCCGAAAACAGCCTGTTTACCAACTTCTGGTGGGACCGGAAGTCCCGTTTCTGGTGGGACCAGAAGATGGCAAACGGGCCGTTTTTGGCCTCCGGGGGGGCTGGGAAGGCTGTTTTCGCCCTCCCCAGACTCCTAGAAAGGCTCTGGAGGCTGGGGAGAGAGAAAAACGGCCCTTCCCCACCACCCCACCAGGCCCTCCGGAAGCAGGAAACAGGCTATTTCCCTACTTCTGGTGGGCCCAGAAGACCCAAAAACCAGCTGGCTGGCGCGCACATGCACACCGGAGCCCAATATGGCCACACATGCCACCTGTGACATGCGTGCCACAGGTTCGCCATCACGGCTCTACAAGAAGCATTAAGTGGTTGTGGGCTAGGCTGGAAGAATCCCCAGAGATAAAACAAGGACTAATAATTCTGCAAGGCTGCTCAGAGAAAACACAAAGCATGAAATCACCAGGCGTCGAGGAACATGGATGTGCGCCCATGTGCGCCCATGTGCACTCGCTCTTCTGACTCTTGTTTATTACCGATCGCACCTTTGTCAGGTGCGTCTGACACCTTTGAGTCTTGCAGCCTCAGCGATTGTAAGTGGCGTGGACTTCAACTCCCAGAATTCCCCAGCCTGCATTCTGGATGGGAGTTGAAATCCACCCATCTTAAAGCAGCCAGGATTGCAAAAACGGGACATGGACGTCCTTATCCGACAGACCTTGTATTGCTTGATTCTGTGATGCTTGCCAATTCCCAGTGTCTTATTTTTGAGAATCAGGTTGAGAAACGGGGTCTTAGAGGAACGACACCCTTGTGAGGTAGGCTGGGCTGAGACAAGCGACTGAAGCAGGGTTCTCCAGGAAGCTTCTGCGGTTGAAGGGTGCGGGACTGGAACCTGATTCTCCCCATTCCTCACCCAGAGCTTCCCTGCTGGAACATTGTATGATCAGGCTGCTATAGGCTAACAGGCTAGACAAGGAGCTGACCACAACCTGTCCCAGGTCAGAAGCACCTGAAGAACAAACGCTGTTTTTCTGGAGGGTTTCTTTCCTTCTGTTTTTTTGCTGGCAGGAAAATTCTGGAGTTGAAAACCGCAGGCCTTAAAATTGTCGAGAAACACTGGTTGACTGTCAGACTTAGATGCTATCTCAAAATTAAATGAATTTCCAAACTGCCAATCTTTAAGGAAATCTTTTCTTTAATTGAGCACAGCAACCAGATCATGACTCGATGCGGACAAGACTGACCTTTTGCCCCCCCAATACCTCCCTTTCCGATCCCCAAATCTCTGCTTCTCATTGGCTATCTTCCAAGTCATTCTCCAGACTTCTTGTCTCGTCATTTCCCAGGAATGTCTCCCCGTCCTCATTTCCACGACAACCCGACGTCAAAGGGATTTAGCAGGCAAAAGTTCAGAGCTTATCTCTCTCCTCTGCTCTCTATGCCAGCGTTGAGGTGCTGACATCGACAATTCGACAGCTTCAACTTCAGAAGTTGTAGGGGCTTCATCATGGGAAGAAAAGACTGGACAGCCGATTGTCTGAGATGGTATAGGGCAGTGGTCGGCAACCCGCAGCTCTGGAGCTGCATGGGGCTCTTTCATCCCTCTGCTGCGGCTCCCTGTCGCTGGTCGGCTCCACAGTTGACAGGGCTTTTGGTTAGGATAGGTAGAGGAAAAAGGACACCGTGCTAGGAGGAGACTCTATGGTGGGGGAACCGGACTTTCGATCGGCTTCAGAATTGAACGGAGGCTTCCGGTTAGGACCTTTGTGGCTCTAGTGTTTAAGGTTGCTAACCCCTGGTATAGGGCCATGATGGCGCGTGTGCCAGAGGTAGCACACAGTGCCCTCTCTGAAGACACGCGAACCGTCGTCCCAGTTCAGCTCCGCTGCGCATGCATGTGTGCCTCCCACCCAGCTGGTCTTCGTGTCTCTGCTGTGCATGCGGGGGGGTAGGGTGCGTGCAGTGGGCCACGCACACATGCAGGGGCATGCGGAGGGCATGCGGGGGTGCTCGCGTATGTGCAGGGGACGCATGCAGGGGGCGTGCATCAGTGGTGAAATCCTACCGGTTCGCACCAGTTCAGGTGAACCGGTAGTGATAAAAGCTACTGGTTGGTCCGAACCGGTATTTCCAACGATCAGCTGTGCCGTGCGATTTATATTCGCTAGAAAGCAGGAAATCCTGCTTTCTAGCAAATCTAAATCGCGTGGCACAGCTGTTTCCTGCACCCCTCGCTATTCTACTTACCTTCAAACGGCTCCTTTTTCCACCCGAAGCGTGTGTTTAGTGCGTTTACTTCACACGCGGTGGCGTCCCGCAGAGGATTTCACCACTGGCATGCATGCATGTGTGGGGAGCGGGGCGCATGCACAGGGGCCGTGCTCGCCTTGCCTTTTGGGGGTTTGAGTGCCCACGCTTGCGCTTTGGGCACTGGTCCGGAAAAGGTTAGCCTACACTGGTTATAGGGCAATGATGGCTAACCTTTTTGCTGTCACGTGCCAGAAGCGGGGGGAGCACATGGGGGGGTCGTGCATGCGCGTGCCGACACCCATAATTCAAAGCCCCCCACAGCCCCGCACATGTATGTGTGACGCCCCCCCTCTGCCCCCCGCTTTTGGCACATGATGGCCTAGTGGGCCCGATAGGCCCGTTTTTCGCCCTCCCCAGGCTCCAGAGGCTTTCTAGGAACCTGTGGAGGGTGAAAATGGTCTTCCCCAACCCCCGGATGGCCTCCAGAGGCTGGAAACAGCCCATTTCCCGACTTCCGATGAGCCCGGAAGGCCCGAAAATCAGTTGGTTGGATCTGAACTAGGGCAACGCTCGCGTGCCCACAGATATGGCTCCGCGTGTCACCTGTGGCACGCGTGCCATAGGTTCGCCATCACGGTTATAGGGTCTCCTGCTTGAGCAGGGGGTTGGACTAGAAGACCTCGAGGGTCCCTTCCACCTCTATTCTGTTTCTGACTTAGAGTTTATGTTTACAACATGGAATAGCTGTTGCAAATCAGAGCAAAGGTTTGTAAATATTGCTAATCTGGGCACACGGTTTAGAAATAATTTCGGTGAGCAAAGCCGCTTGGAACGGGCTGTCCTCCTTCTGCCTCTACAAGGCCAGGCTGTTTTTAAAATCGCAGCCAATAATTTTAGACTCTTATTTCTAAATACGACTTTTGGGAAGATGGACGCCCTGTCCCCACCTCAGCCCAGCCTTTCCGTGTCTTTGGGGTATTTCTGTTTCCTTGTCTTTCAACACCGTAAGGCGGAAAGCTAACTTTACATCATTGTGGAGACAACAAGCTAAGGTTTTGTGGGGTTTTTTGCAGCGGGAGCAGGGAGAGACAAGTTTACTGTCAGGAACAGTATTTATAACCAGCAGGTGACATCGCTGTGAAACTCTCTATTGAAGGGAAACAGTTTAACTCTCTCCAGTGTGGAGTTTAACAGAAGCAGCCGAAAGAAACTCAGGCGTGGAAATCTTTATGAGTTGACAGCAGGGTGGATTTGATTTAAATCGAGTCGATTTAAATCACGATTTAAATCATGATTTAAATCACTAGTAAAAAGGCTTGATTTAAATCGACTCGATTTAAATCATAATTTTTAAAGAGCAACTGTCATCTCTGCTACTCCTTTGACCCGCCGTTGACTCACCGATAGTCCCAGTGTTGCAGAATATACAGCCTCCTGCTCCATAACTAAGCTCCATTTCATGCTGAATAAACTAAATTATTTATGTATCTTAAATAGAAAACCATCTTACGATAGATTTTTACCCCCAAAGTTTTTTATTAAAATAAATTCCAAAAAAATCTGATTTAAATAAAAAAATCCGATTTAAATCAAAAAAATCCGATTTAAATAAAAAAAATCTGATTTTTTTTTATTATTTTTTTAAAAAAATCATTGATTTTTATCCACCCTGGTTGACAGTATATATGTTGGGTATTTTTTTTTTAAATGCACATTTCTTTTCAGTGTCATGTATGTTTTGTGTTTTTTAGGGAGTCTTTTTTTTAAGTTTTCAATTTTGGGGGGAGTTTTCCATTTTCACTTTTCTTTGAATGAAATAAATGTCGTTGGATTAAAAAGAAATAAGGCCGCGCTAGAAATTAAGGCTCCTTTAAGATCTTTTTCCGAGTTGGCGGAGGGGGAGAAATGCAACCTAGGGATAATGTTCAGGGATGGGCAACAGGCTTCGACTCAACCCTTCCAAGACCGAGTGGCTGTAGCTGCCGGCGTCCCGGTATAGCCAGCTGATGCCATCGCTGGTTATTGGGGGCGAATCATTGGCCCCCACAGAGAGGGCCCACAACTTGGGGGCCTCCCATGTGACTCCTCTCCTGCGCGAGCTGCATTGGCTTCCGGTGGACTTCCGGGTGCGCTTCAAGGTGTTGGTGATCACCTATAAAGCGCTCCATGGCTTAGGGCCGGGGTACTTACGGGACCGCCTTCTGCCACCAATTGCCTCCCACTGGCCAGTTCGCTCCCACAGAGAGGGCCTCCTCAGGGTGCCCCCAGGGGGAGAGCCTTCTCTGTGGCGGCACCCGCCCTCTGGAATGACCTGCCCCCTGAGATACGCACGATATCAGACCTCCGGACTTTTCGTCGGGCCCTAAAAACTTATTTTTTTTCAGTTAGCCGGACTGTCCTGATTTTATGGTTGGTTTTAAAATTTGATATGGATTTTAAATTGATAAGTTTTAAATTACGGGCCAAATTTATTAATTATTTTAAATCTATTTTTAATTGTAATGTTATGTATAAATGTTTTTATTTTGGCTGTTCACCGCCCTGAGTCCGAAAGGAGAAGGGCGGTATAGAAGTTTGAATAATAAATAAATAAATAAATATATATATAAATAAATAAATAAATATCAACGTCTCATGGCCATCATCATTGCAGAAAATCAAGCGAGGCCCTTCCAGCGAGGACTGCTTCTTTCACCTCCTGAGCAAATTCCAGAGCAATCGGATGGAAGACCAGAGGTGTCCTTTGGAGGACTCCCAGAGGGATGAAGCAGCAGCTACCCTTCTCCCTGCCCTGGAAGAAACACAGAGTAAGTAGGCCAACTTTAGTAAGTAAGAGTAAGTGGGCCAAGCAGTGAGGGGGATCTCGGAGTCTCAATGAATAACCAGTTAAATAGGAGTGAGGAGTGTGTGGCGGCAGCCAAAAAAGCCAACACAATCCCAAATTGCATGAACAGAAGGATACAATCAAGATCGAGGGAGGTACTAATACCACTCTATAAAGCCTTAGTAAGGCCACACCTAGAGTACTGCCTCCAGTTTTGGTCACCACCCTATAAAAAAGAAGTTGAGACTCTAGAAAGAGTGCAGAGAAGAGCAACCAGGATGATGAGGTGACTGGAGGCTAAAAGATATGATGAACGGTTGCAGGAACTGGGCCTGGCTAGCCTACTGAAGAGAAGGATCAGGATAGCAGTATTCCAATATTTGAGAGAGGAGGGGGTCAGACTGTTTTCCAAAGCACCCAAAGGCCAGACAAGGAACAATGGATGGAAACTGATCAAGGAGAGATTCAACCTGGAATTAAGGAGACATTTTCTGACAGTGAGAACAATCCACCAGTGGAACAGAAGTTGCCTTCAGAAGTTCTTGGAGCTTCATCACTGGAAGAGACTGGACTGCCATCTGTCAGAAATGGTGTAGGGTCTCCTGCTTGGGCAGAGGGTTGGACTAGATGACCTACAAGGTCCCTTCCAACTCTGTTAATATCTGGGCCACCAGCTTCCCCGAGCCTTCCTTCATGTCCTGAGCTGGGTTGTTGTTGTACAGCTGCAATGCAACTTTTTAGGTGACACAATAATGACATGGCCAAGAAGCGTCCTTGTGATGGACAGGCGGAAATTCCCCCCCTTGGGGGAAAAGAGACGGGCACAGACTTTGGCCCAAGGAAGAGCCCTGCTGGCCTCTTGACAGCGCTTTGAGGTAAACCAAGTTGAGGAGCAAACATCACATGGATTTGAGGGACATTATAGTTATTGGAGACCCAGCAACAGACTCTTGAAAGTCTGCTCAGGTTCTCTGTGTCCCTTCTTACGTTAAATGAGAATCAAGGTGGAGTTACAGGTAGTTCTCAATTTAAGACTTATTTGTTTAGCAACCGTTCGAAATTACGTGTCAGGGTTCCAAGTAATACACCTATAGCAAAGGGAACTCTGAGGCAAGCAGTTTCCTCCAAGCAGACGTTTATTGGGTGTATCATATTGGCACAAGCTGGCGAAAACCAACTCTAAAAGTCCCTGCGGTTTTCACCTCATTAAAAATAAGTTTTCCCCCCTTTTCCAAACAATCAGTCACATGGTCCAATCAAAGTACTGTCTGGTTGCTTGGAAACTTCACTCCTCCTCTCTTCAGCCACATGTCCTTGGTCCTTGGTTCTCAGGGGAAACTATTTTGTTTTGGCTACCAAACCCCCAGAGATCTCTATTCCCCCCTCCCTCTCCCTCAGCACCATTGTGGCAGCACTGAAGCCTCCCCCCCCAAGATGGCCTTGGTCAGGCTAGCTTCAGAGTTGACATTACGACAGTGCTGAAAAATGGGATTTACTTATTAAATTTACTTAAACGGGCCTGGCTACTTACGGGACCGCCTTCTGCCACTGATAGCCTCCCACCGGCCAGTACGCTCCCACAGAGAGGGACTCCTCAGGGTGCCGTCGGCCAGACAATGTCGGCTGGCGACTCCCAGGAGGAGGGCCTTCTCTGTGGCAGCTCCTGCCCTCTGGAACAACCTGTCCCCGGAGATACGTAGGATCCCAGATCTCCGTGCTTTTCGCCGTGCCCTAAAAACCTTAAAACTTTTTTATTTCATCAAGCCGGGCTGGCTTAACAACCCCCTCCCCCTTAGATATTTTTAATTGTTAATTGATTTTACTTGGGGGTGTTTTAAATTTACTGGGCCAAAATTTGTTTAATTCTTTTTAAAATTTTAAATTTTGTATGTGATGTTTTTATTCTTGGCTGTTCACCGCCCTGAGTCCAGTGGGAGAAGGGTGGTATAAAAATCTAATATGTTTGTGAATCCGCTGGGGCTGGCAAAGACTGCATTTTAGATGATAAAACTGGTGATCCCCCAGCACTTTTAGGAGCACCAGTTTTTATTTGCTTTGAAGCCATTTTCTAAATTTCAAATTGCACTTTTTCCACAGCCAAATCAACAAGTCCAATAAGTCCAATTAGTTGTAAATATTATCCTTTGTAAAAAGTCAGTACTGAATTCTTTAATCTTTAAATCTTAATACTCCTGTAAAGTCCATTAATTTTGAACGGGGCTGCCAGCGTTAACGAGCACTTTCCTCTTAACTTTCACTTTCATACCCCTTTAAGGGTCTATAGATAGTTAGCATATGTTAGTATATGACTGTTAAATGCTACACCCTGTATTTTGCTCTGGGAAGTCGGGAGGGGGGAGGGTTGGGGAGGGAGAGGGGAGGGGGGATGGGAAAACATTTGTAAAAATTTTTTAAAACTTTTTATTAAAAAAAAAATCTAATAAAATAAATAAAAATAAATAAATCACCTTTCCCTGGAGTTGTGGCCTTTGCAGGGCCCCCACAGCCGTATGATGAAAATTTAGGTTCCTGGCAGCCTGCCTGCACTTACGACTGCAGGGTGTCAGGTTCCGATGTCATCTCAAATAAATTGCATTCTCAAACAATTAATCTTTGCTGAAATCTTCCATTTATTGAGTACGACAATCTGGCCCTGACTTCGTCGTAGCCGATACTAACCCTCTGACCCCAAATCCTTCCCTTTCCATTCCCCAATTCTCAGCGTCTCATTGGCCATCTTCCAAGTCAGTCTCCCCAGCTCCTGACTTCAACCCACAGGAATGTCCCCCCTCCCATCCCATCTCCTAGGGGATATTATCTACAGAGAAAATAAGTAGGTGAAAAGTCAACCCTCGTCTTCTCTTTATGGCAGCATTAGAATGCTGACACAGGAGCTCTGCAGTTCTCCCACCTATCTATCTCTCTTCCCCCCCCCAATACACACCTGGCCCATGCAAAGCACCTCGCTCACCTTCAGCATTTTTCTCCAAGTACTGATGGGCACATCTAGCCTATGCAAGGTGCAGCCTTCTTACCGAGGCTGCCTCGTGCCATTCGAAGGAGTCTGTGGTGGCAGAGTGGTTAGAATCAGAAGTGGTATTCAGCAGGTTCTCACCAGTTCTGGAGAACCGGTAGTGGAAATTATGAGTAATTCGGAGAAGCGGTAAATACCATCTCTGACTGGCCCCGCTCCCATCTATTCTCTGCCTTCCAAGTCCCAGCTGATCAGGAGGAAATGGAGATTATGCAGTATCCTTCCCCTGCCACGCCCACCAAGCCACGCCCACCGAACTGGTAGTAAAAAAAAAATTGAATCCCACCCCTGGTTAGAATGCAGCACTGCAGGGCTAACTCACTGCCCACTGCCAACAGTTCGATCCTCACCAGCTCAATGTTGACTCATCCTTCCAAGGTCGGTAAAATGAGGACCCAGATTGACTCTGTAAGTCGCTTAGAGAAGACTCTAAAGCACTGTAAAGCAGTATATAACTCTAAGGGTTATGGCTATTGCTCTTCCTTTTTCCCTTCCTTCCTCCCTCCCTCCGTCCCTCCCCCCTTTCCTTCCTTCCTTCCTTCCTTCCTCCCCCCCCCTCCCTCCCTTTCCATGGTGTGCCATGGTTAGAATGCAGTATTGCAAGCTAATTCTGCCCACTACTAGCAGTTCGATCTTGACTGGCTCAAGGTTGACTCGGCCTTCCATCCTTCTGAGTTCGGTGAAATGAGGACCCAGATTGACTCTGTAAATCACTTAGATAAGGCTAAGGCTATATACCGCACTGTAAAGAAGGCTATATACCGCACTGTAAAGCGGTATATAACTCTAAGGGTTATGGCTATTGCTCTTCCTTTTTCCCTCCCTTGCTCCCTCCCTCCATTCCTCCCCCCTTTCCTTCCTTCCTTCCTTCCTTCCTTCCTTCCTTCCTTCCTTCCTTCCTTCCTTCCTCCCTCCCTCCCTCCCTCCCTCCCTCCCTTTCCATGGTGTGCCATGGTTAGAATGCAGTATTGCAGGCTAATTCTGCCCACTACTAGCAGTTCGATCTTGACTGGCTCAAGGTTGACTCAGCCTTCCATCCTTCCGAGGTCGGTGAAATGAGCTGAGCTGATACCCCTCCGTCCCAGGTAACTAAAGGTTCCTCCAGGGCTGGCCGGCTTGCTCATCCCTCAACTGGTTTCTCTCCCAGCTCAGTCCATGGCCTCCCCGCAGACCGAGGAGCTCTTCGACCTCATTGCCAGCTCCCAGAGCCGGCGGCTCGATGACCAGAGGGCCAGCGTGGGGAATCTGCCCGGCCTCCGCATCACGCCCAGCAACCTCGGTCACCTCCGCATGGACGGCGAGGCCCAGGAACCTGGCGACGAATTCTTCAACATGCTGATGAAATGCCAGGTAGGTTGGTGGCTCTCTCGCCCTTCCTAGACTTGGTGGGAAATTCTAACAGGAAATGGGAGGGAAATTCAACCTCTGCCAAAGCTCCCAGGGACGAGGGGCTTCTCTCGTTGCTCAGGCCTTCGCGTTCCCCGGGTGAGGTAGAACTCTTTTAGGGTTAACACTTTGGCCTTGGGGCGAAGGTCTGGGTTCAAGCCGGGCTGGCTTAGGAAGAAATTTTTAAATTTTTTAAATGTTTTAATTGGTTTGTGATTTTTAAATTTTTGGGCCAAATTTATATATGTTGTGGCCCCGCCCTCTGAGCCTATCTCATTGGAGGAAGAAAGCTCCGAACATGAGGAAGAGGAGTCAGCCAGGCCTCCCTCTCCAGGCCCCTCCCCTCTGGCACTGTCTCAGGTGCCGGCCGAGGGAGAGGAGATTAGCCAGGAGCCAGGTGTCTCGGATGAGAGCGAAGGAGAGCCATCATTCCTGGATGCACGCCAACGAAGGCGTGATAAACGGTTGCAGCAGCTAAGGAGGCATGCTAGGGATTAGAACTGAGTCACTGGACCACACCCCAGAGACTATATAAGAGAGGGTGGTGGCTGGTAAAACTCCGTGACGAACAAAAACGAACTTTGGCTAGTCACATTGAACAACGTCTGAAGCTGCCGAAAGGGATATTGTTTTGCTGGACTATTTGCAATGCGTATGTAATTTTATGTTATCTGTTGCAGTAAAAGCTCTTGGCAGACGGTGATTATATTGCTGCCAAGTTTGAGATAACGACCTGTGTGCGTGCCAAGTATTTTCTTAACCCTCGGCTGGCTGTGTTTGTGTGTGTGTGTGGACGGGGACAGATCAATATATATTTTAATTGTTTTTAATATTTGTATTTCATGTTTTTAATTCTGGCTGTGCACCGCCCTGAGTCCTCAGGGAGAAGGGCGGTATATAAATTGAAAGATAAAAAAAAATAAAAAAATAAAGCCATCATTTAGCCACGGGATTCACAGAGGGGATTTTGAACCACTGGCTTTCTTGCAGCTAAATCTACCTTACAGGCAAGGATAGGATAGGGGATAGGGGATAGAGATTATTAGAATAATTAGAATTAGAATAATTAGAATTAGCATAGAGTTGGAAGGGACCTTGGAGGTCTTCTAGTCCAACCCTACACCACTTCAAACAAATGGTTATCCAATCTCTTCTTAAAAACTTCCAGTGTCGGAGCATTCAAAACTTCCAGTGGCAAGTTGTTCCACTGGTTAATTGTTCTCACTGTCAGGAAATTTCTCCTTAGTTCTAGGTTGCTTCTCTCCTTGATTGTTGAGATGGAGATGAAATGGGGAGGGGGAAGGACACCCCCGACATAGGCCATTTTCAACAAAGCGGGATAGAAATGTAGTAATGAAATAAACGACATATGGCTGTTTTGTTTTGTTTTAATTTGATTTGATTTATTGTTTAGTTTGTTCAGAGCAGTCTGGCCCAGATCACGAGACGTTGTGGCTAACTTTTTTTTTATCTAGCATTGGGCAAATCTTAGCTTTTGGTGGAAGGTCACCGGTGTGGTGCCAGTCCAGAAGCCTCAGGGACCAAGCGCAGGCTGTCCTCCATTTGGGGAGCCAAGCAGGAGGGGACAACCCTTTTCCCACTGTAGGGAAAGATCTTGAGAGTGTAGGGCTCTTCCTGCCTGCCCCTCTAAAGTCAGCTTTAGCCCATCAAACACTGGCTGTCTTCTAAGTTAGATTCCACCCGTCCTGCTTTCTCACGCTTTTCCTCCCAAGATGCTCAGCGCCTTGTATGGTGTTCTTACGGCCTCACACGGAAGTCTCCTAACAGCCCCGCAAAACTGGCTGGCATGGAAGCCGGGTCCAGGGGTGAAATCCAGCAGGTTCTGACCGGTTCTCCAGAACCGGTAGCAGAAATTTTGAGTAGTTCAGAGAACCGGCAAATACCACCTCTGACTGGCCCCGCCCCCATCTATTCTCTGCCTCCCGAGTCCCAGCTGATCGGGAAGAAATGGGGATTTTGCAATATCCTTCCCCTGCCATGCCTAGCAAGCCACGCCCACCAAGCCAGACCACACCCACCAAGCCACGCCCACAGAGCGGTAGCCTAGTGCAACCCAAAAGAAGGACTTGGCTTAGTTCCCCTCCCTTAAGTCATGATTATGGCCTTTCCCTTCGCTTTTCTGCCAGGGTGGGTTTGATTTAAATCAAGTCAATTTACATCACGATTTAAATCATTAGAAAAAAAGGCTTGCTTTAAATCAACTCAGTTTAAATCATAATTTTTAAAGCGCAACTATCATCTCTTGTCCCGCAGCGGCTGCTCCTGTTGACTCACCCGCACTCTCATTCACTTTTAACAATCGTACAGTTTGTAGCGTACGTAGATTTGCAGAACAATGGGATAAAGGAATATTCCTGCACTTTGCTTTATGATTTATCTCATGGTTCCTGTGAAATTGTGGGGTGTGGTGGCTCAGTGGCTAGGACGCTGAGCTTGTCGATCAAAAGGTCGGCAATTCAGCGGTTCGAATCCCCAGTGCTATGTAGTGGAGTGAGCTCCCGTTACTTGTCCCAGCTTCTGCAAACCTAGCAGTTCGAAAGAATGTAAAAAATGCAAGTAGAAGGTGATAGGTAACGTTACTGATTGCTTAGTTCAGGAAAAGGGATGTTATGTTTAGATATTAATGTACTTAAAAGATTTGAATTAAGAGATATACGTATGGGGGTGGAGGAAATGGGTAGATTATGAGTAGAATAAATGCCAAATTAGGATTTATTATATAGTTTCATAGCCGAATGTTGTTTTGAAGGGTATAGTATACAGGGGACATAATAATAATGTTAGAAAGAAATGTTTAGCACATAGGGGGTGGTGTAAAAGGGTGGTAAAGTATTATATAATGTGATATTAATTTGGATTTCATCTTGCAGAAGCCATGGGGGGAGGGGAGGGGGAGGGGGGTTAGGGAGTGGGGGGGGAAGGGGGAAAAATGTGTAACTTTTTCAATTAAAAAAAAATGCAAGTAGAAAAATAGGGACCACCTTTGGTGGGAAGGTAACTGTTCCGTGCCCCTTTGGCGTTGAGTCATGCCAGCCACAGGATCACGGAGACGTTTTCGGACAGCGCTGGCTTTTCGGCTTTGAAACGGAGATGAGCAGCGCCCCCTGGAGTCGGGAACGACTAGCACATATGTGCGAGGGGAACCTTTACCTTTACCTATCAATGCAGTGCATCTTATCTCAGCTTCCAGAGCTTGGATTCATTGAATGAGTTTACCAAAAATGTAAATATTGCAGATTACTTTTTTTAAAAAAAACCATCTATTTTTATCCACCTGTCTTTTCTGCAGTCCTCCCGCCTGGATGACCAGCGCTGTGCCCCGCCCCATTCCATCCCCCGTGGCCCCACGGTGCCCGACGAGGATTTCTTCAGCCTCATCCAGCGGGTCCAAGCCAAGCGCATGGATGAGCAGAGGGTGGACCTGGCTTCCGGCGAAGAAGACCAAGCTGAGGATTGAGCTCAGATCACCAGCAAAGGCCCAGCTTCAGTTAGGCCAGAGCAAGCGTCCTGCGGAGGGAGGGACTTCTGAATGCTGCCCCCAGCTGAAGATCTGGGCCGTGGCGCTCGGTGCATTTCTGGGGGTGGGCAATGCCTCTCTTGTGCACTGTCTCCCCCTGGAGAACATGGCACAGGCGAGAGTGGCAAGCAGAATGGGTGGGCCCTTTCTGCTGACCAAGAGGCCTGTGGGCCAACTGGGCGAGATCGGCAACTATGAGGCATCTTCTCTGCTTGAACATCAGCTATGAAAACCAGGCTCAAGAACTGAGGAAAGGGAAGGTCTGCACCAAGGAGTCTGGATCAGGGCCACGCCCCAAGGGGCTGCTGGAGGGAGGGGTTGACACCTCCACCCCCCACCCTGAAAGTCAGGTTGACTCTGCCTCTTTAGGCCCGGATCCTGTGCCAAATCATCAGCAGCCAAGTTGGGTATATGAATTGATGACAATCAGTGACTCTGTGTGTCTGTGTGCAAACCTTGCTTTCGAAATATGCTTTTGGGTGCCCTTTTATCTCAGGTGCAATCTGATGCTGGTTGGAAAGGTGCTAGGCAGGAGACAGAGGGAAGCAAACATCCAGAGCCAGGATGTAAGGTTTCGGTTAATTGGGTGGAAATCGGGTGGAACCCATGATTACAAATGGCCTTTGACTTATGACCGCAGTTGAGTTCAGAATCGTGTCAGGTGGCCGATTTGCTCAGCGACTGCTGGCTCCTGGCTCTCCCAGTTGTAGTGCTTGGACAGGTTATTAAGCAGAGCTGGGGAGGGGGCTCATGGGGTGGGGGAGATCCAGTGCAGGCTATAAGGCTGTCCAGTATGCAGAAATCTTCCGCAGGCTACAGGGCCCACTTGGCTGATCCGGCACCACTTGTAAATTACTCCACTCCAAAGTGACAATAAAATCATTCTAAGTCTAGTTCTCTCACCTTTAGTATTCTGCATCTCTATAGAAACACGGTAGATGGGTGGGGGTAGTTGCCCCAGTTCTTAAAGCAAGGTGGGACGTGATCATTTTGCTTGAGCCTCGGTGGCGCAGTGGTTAGAGTGCGGTACTGCAGGCTCCTGCTGCTGCCTTCCGGCTGCCTGCAATTTGGCAGTTCAAGTCTCACCAGGCTCAAGGTTGACTCATCAGCCTTCCGTCCTTCCGAGGTGGGTAAAATGAGGACCCAGATTGTTGGGGGCAAGAGGATGATTCTGTAAACCGTTTAGAGAGGGCTGTGAAGCGGTAGAGAAGTCTAAGGGCTCCTACTTGTTAAGATCCTTAAGTGGATTGAATCCCAGGTTAGATGTGCCAGGAAGGCTGGGGAAATCCTGGGGTGCCCGAGGCAGGCTGTGCAGGATGGCAGATGCTACAGTGCATCACAAAGTTTGTGTCCAGCCCACTAGGATTGGGAGGTAGGCCTGTTATCACACAAAAGTCTCTCGTTTTGCCATTCCTTTCCTATTACCGTCAGGCGTGCCCAGCCTGTGTGTGGCAAGGTCTTCTTACTGAGGCTGCCTTGCGCTGCTCTCCAAGTGGTCTCCATTGCCATGATCCTTCAGAAGTTCTTGGAGTTTTGCATGCTCATTTCGTGGGCCAGAGGAGGGGCAGGTGGGGAAGCTGCAGTGCCCTTGTGGGCAGTCATAAGGTCAGGCAGAGTGCGGAGTGTTGAATTTTCCTTACGTGGCCCCAGGAGCCATGGGCATAACCTCAGGGACGGGTTATGTCCCTTCATTCAGGACTGCCATAACGAATGGTTAAATGCGGGCTACCTCTATAGCTATTGCGGCCATCACAAAAATAATATTTTTAGTAACCCATTGAAGGATTTTCAGGCAAAACAATAAAAGTTTTTAGGCAGATTCTGGCCCTCTTTTAATCTGGTTTCCTTGAAGGTAGAGAGGTTTTGTGTTTTTTTCCTTTGCTTATCGTGGACTGTTGGTTTGGAGTTTATTCCTCAATTTAATCCGCAGCTGTGGAATTAGACAAAGTTTGTTGCCGTTTCCATGGCTCCCCTATTTCTCCTGGTTCCCCTATTTGTGTGGTACTTTCAAAACTCCTGCTTTTTGAAGAGATATTCTATGGTTCCCCCCCCCCCGCCCTCCATCAAAATCAGGAGCTGGGTTGCATGCTGCAGCTCCTGAAACCATCTGCCTTTTCATAAAACACGTTGGCTACAATAGATGCTCCCCAACTTCTGATTCTTTTGCCTTTTGAACATCTCAGCAAGATTGGAAAACCTGTCAAGAAACGCCAAGGTCCCCAGTGTGTTTTCGATCCTCTCTAGTCTGGTCTCTTTGCTGCCGCCCAGAACTGTCCCGAACTGCAGACCAAGACCACAGAAAAGGTTGAGAAGGGAGACCCCGATAACCCCACGGTCCTAGACCTGGACCAGATCAAGGAAGCCTTTGCCCAATGGGAACCAGTCCAGGCCATATGCACAACTCAGTGAACCCAGCTGGCTGTGTTTTAAGGGTGCCTTTCCCCCCCAAAAAAAACCTATGAGGGAGCCTCCCACCGTCGGGAGGAAAAGGGCCCTTCATGCAACCTGTATCTTGAGCCAAAGGATCCGGGCTCTTGGTGGAGGAGAAGCCCATCACTTGTGGTCATGGGAACCCAACTGCAGCAGCTCAGAAACCCTGACAACTACAGGGAAGGGCTGGCTCTGCTTCCCTGTCTCCATCCCGTCCATCGAATGGCCAGCTTGATGAACGGAAGGACCGAGATGGGGGATTGTTCACCTTGCTGGTTGAGAATATCCCAAATTGTCTCCTCAGCAAAAGCATCTTTGATCGCATCCTACAAAGCCTCCAGTGGTAGAGGACGTGCCCTGAGGGTTCAAAGGGTCCCAAATCCCCCTTTCTGGGCATAGCCACACCCGGAAAGCCTTTCTCCTCAGAGTCCGTGGGCAGTGAGGGAGACGTGGCGGCTGCTGGGGCAAACAGCCCCACCCTTTGCTTCATGCCACAGTAAGGGTCTCCGTGCCGCGAGGCCAAAGCCCCACTCCGCTTCTCTGCTGCAGAGGGGAAGGTCAGCTGGTGGAGAAGGCCAGGCCCTTCCCTTCCTCCAGGCTGGGGCAGAGCAGGAGAAGAAAAGCTGTTGCAGGGATCACCTTGGCTGCTATACTTGAAGGTATTGCTAATTTATTGTTTTTGAAGTGTGTCTCTTGTGATTTGTGGGAAGGGCAGGTGGGGAAAGGAAGCAAAGAGTTTGAATTCTTTCCCTTCCCTCTGAGAAGTCAAAGAGCTGCCAAATTCATTCGAAAGAACAGAGATCTTGGAGTAGAGAGAGAAAATAAAGTTGTTGAATAAGCTGTTTGTGAGCCAAGTTCTTTGGAAATTATTTTCTCAACCCTCCGGGACTAATGCAGGTGTAGGAAGGAAACACAGGGAGAATAAAAAAGGGAGGAGATGCCTACACATCAACACCCAAAGTATGAAGAAGAAACAGAGGGAACCTGACGTCCCGGAACACGATAGGAAAGATGAGATTGCTGCCGTTACTGGTGGGATGAAACCCAGGAGGATTTAAATTTTCCAAAACACCTAATAAAAAGAGGTGGAGGTGGAGTTGCACTTAAACAGCTGCACCTGTGTAGAAATGCAAAAAGTAAAAAATGAAGAAAACCTCCTTGAATGCATTTGGGTTAAAATGAAAGGAAAACGGAATGAAGTTGCCAGAGGTGTATACGACGGACTGCCCAATCGGAGGAACTAGATCAGGGGCGTCAAACTGAAGGGTGCTTGGATCTGGCCTGTGGGGAACAGATCGGACTGGCCCACAATGCCTCTGCCAGCGAAAACAGAGCTCGGGAGGGAAGCGTGTAGCCCTACCGGCCCCATTTTGAGGTGCAACGGCCTCCTGCACTCCTCCGCCAGCGAAAATGTGGCCTCCACCCCCCCAGCTCCATTTTCACCGGCAGAGGATTAGGAAAAGAAACTAAAAGCAAAAGAAATGTTTCTCCTTTTGCATTTGAGCATCCAAGAAGGGACAGGAAAGAGGAAAGGCAAAGAAGGAAAGACGAGAAGGGAGGAAGGAAGGAAAAAGAAGGAAAGAGGGAAGGAAAAAGAAGAAAAGGGAAGGGAGGGCAGGAGGAAGGACGGAAGGTTACGAGGGAGGGAGGGTCTGAGGGAAATCCTGTCGTAGCACTTGGCCACCTCAGGTGCCCACAAGAAGAGTGAAGATGAGCTGGCCACGCCTACCCAGGGATACCCCCCACCCCCCAGGTCAAACATAACCCTGATGCAGCCCTGAAGGAAATAAGAGTGTGACACCACTGAGCTAGATGCACCTTTTGCTAAGCATTTAGCTGATGAACAGAAAGCAGAGGAATGGGGGACTTTCCCTATCCCTAGCAAATGGGGAACAGTCTCTGCACCTAGTGGGAGGACCAAACAGGTCCCCAAAGACTCTTATTCGTTTAAAACGTTCTTATAACTGCCCATCTTTCAGTCAACTCTGTGCAGCTCCCAAAAGGGTGTTTTCAAAAGTATCCAACACATTAAAACATAAAAGAAAAACCATCAAAGAAAAGCCAGGCGCCAATCCATGCCACCTTCTCCTTGTCTGACCTCCCAGCGCCTGGGGAAAAGCCAGGGGTTTTAAGGCTAAAAGGGTGGGGGCTTTTTAAGAATATGGCTCATATCTCACAAAGCTTCCTTGGCCTTAAGAGTCCCTTGTAGGGGTTTCTGCTGGAAGACAAGGGGACCATTCAGGGAATCCAACTGAGAGCTTCAGATGCTTGGGGATGGTCTTAATAGGTCCCCACATTTGGGAAATCCACATAGATTATATCAAACAACGGCAGGGAGAAGCTCCTTTGCACCCCCAACAATAAAGTTCAAATTAGCAATAGATTTCAGCCACAGCACACTTGCTTCCATGAGGATCTGAGTGGGAGGAGCATTCAAAGGCAATTTATTAGAATATTGTAGCAAAGAGATTTCCCTCAATGAAAAGAGGGAATCCAGGACACAAAGAGCGGCTGATTCAAACTCAGGGTCTCCTAAGGTCCCAGAATAGACCCAACTGGCTGCCCTTCAAGGGCTCATATAAGGCTTCAACCCCTGACCTCCGCTGGCCTCAATACGGGGGTGGTGGTGGTAGAGAGAGACCGGACTCCAAGTTCAAAGAAAGCCCCCCTCCCCCCTGTCCCACCTCCGCCCCGGACCGTAAAAACCCGCGGAACTGCGCAGGTGCCATCTGCCTTGTTGCAGGAAGGATGCTGATTGGTTGCGCTCGGAATGTCGGCGATGGGCAAATGGACTCCGAGAGGCGGATCCTCCAAAGGAAAAGGTGGAACTAGTGGAGGAAAAAGGGCATGAAGCCTCCACTTCCGGAAACAAAACGGGCAAAGAGGGAGCTGCTTCAATCAGCGACAGAGGAGGCCGTTTGATGCAGGTTTGGCACAGGGGATGCTGGGAATCGTAGTCCGGGAGAGTCTCCCTGGAGGGCTGGGAGCCCGAGGCCTAGTCTGGTAGGCGGGAGGGACGGAGACGGGAGGCTGGGAAGGAGGCCATGTCCGCCTGGAGAATACCTGGGAAGCCCATGGGAGGCGGGGGCTTGAGCCTAGGCCTCCCCTGTGGGGAAGGGGACGCAGTCGTGACCCTCTTCTCTTTCTCCCCTGAAGGAGGACGGAGGATGGTGCCGGATGCAGGAAAAAGGCGCCGGCCAAGAGGAGGAGGAGGAGAGCGGGCCCCACGGAGCAGACCTGTCCGGTCCTGGCGCGGCTTCCCCGGGAGACAGCAGGGAAAGGCCGGGGTCTCTGGGGCTGCAGGAGGGAGGAGCCCAGGGGCAGCCTGGGAAAGGCAGCTGCCTGGAGGGCGATGTGGGGAGGAGGAAACTGGCAGAGACCCCGAGACGGGCCTGGAGGACGGAGGCTCCTTCGGAAGACCCCGAAAACCATGAGGGAGCAAAGGAACATCAGTGCCCAGAATGCGGAAAAACCTTCAAAAGAAATGGACGTCTTCAAAGCCACCTAATTATCCACACAGGAGAGAAACCTCATAAGTGCCTGGAGTGTGGAAAGAGCTTCAGCCAGAGGGGAAACCTTTATACACATCTAAGGATCCACACGGGAGAAAAACCTTATAAGTGCCTGGAGTGTGGAAAGAACTTTAGTCATACCAGCAACCTTTATAGACATCAAAGGATCCATCTGAAAAAATGCCTGGAGGGCGGAGGCTCCTTCGGAAAACCCCGAAAGCCCCGAAGGATCCAGGAGGAAGCAAAGGAACATCAGTGCCCAGAATGCAAAAAATCCTTCAAAAGAAAAGGAAATCTTCAAAGCCACCTAATTATCCACTCAGGAGAAAAACCTCATAAATGCCTGGAGTGTGGAAAGAGATTCAGTCAGAAGGGAAACCTTTATACACATCAAAGGATCCATTCAGGAGAAAAACCACATAAATGCTTCGAGTGTGGAAAGAGATTCAGTCTGAGGGGAAACCTTTATATACATCAAAAGATCCACTCAGGAGAAAAACCACATAAATGCCTGGAGTGTGGAAAGAGATTCAGTCTGAGGGGACATCTTTATAGACATCAAAGGATCCACACAGGAGAAAAACCTCATAAATGCTTTCAGTGTGGAAAGAACTTCAATCGGAGATCACATCTTGATCAACATCAAAGGATCCACTCGGGAGAGAAGCCATACGAATGCCTGGAGTGTGGAAAGAGATTCAGTCAGAGCAGCAACCTTTATACACATCAAAGAATCCACACAAGAGAAAAACCACATAAATGTCTGGTAAGAAAGGTAATAAAATCCAATTAAAACTTTCACTTTTAATAAATTTAATATATTTTTTTCTTTTAATAAATTCCTTTAGTCTTCCAGGGCCATGCCCAGGGTCCCAGGCCTGAGTTTGACTGCTGTCGGTCATTCTGATGGCAACTAGCAGAGCAGGCTGTCCTGGGAGGGGCGGGAGGCCTTGTATGAGTCTGGATGTCCATCTGTCAGTGGTTCAGGAGTGTTGGATTCTCAACTGGGCAGCTGTGGACGAGATCCCTGCCTGATCCCTGTCCAAAGGCTGCAGTTGAGGGCTGCTCTGACACAGGATCCAGCCCTCCCTGTGCCTGGCCTAAAGCCAGTGCTGCAGTGCTGCCTGCCCCAAGAGGAGATCAACCCTGCTGGTAATTCAATCAAGTTCAAAATTCGAGGAGAAAATTTCGCTCTCTCTTTCTGTCCGTAAACTTGGCACCATCTAACAACATGGTGTCAGGAAAAGGTGCCTCACCTAAGCAGAAATAATGGGGGGAGCTCACCTGGGACAATGGAGCAAAACACAAAACAGCAGGGCAACCCAAAGGGAATGCGATGGGAAGTTCATCCAGAGCTACGTTAATGAGAGGCGCTTCCCTGAACAGAATGCAGCCTACATCCAAAGAGCTTTGCCTTTTGTGCAAAAAGATTAGAAAAGGGCAGCTTGAGTGTTGGTTTGGTTGCCTCCTACAGACATTTGCCTGGCATTGGTGCACATAGAAAAGGTGGAGCAGGTGAAGTTTCATAGGGAACCTGCCATCTCTTAGGGAACTCTGAGGGCTTTATGACCTCGTCCATGCAGGCTAAACTGCCAGTTACTGTCAGTTGTCAGAGTGAAGATGCCTTCAAGAGGTTCGTCAGTCTTCAGAAGAGCTCCTGGACTCTGGGAAATCTTCCTTCTATTTGCAGCCAATTTATCAAGAATTGGATTGCAAGGACGAAAACGCTCATTTGGCCCCTTCTTAGGAAAGGGAAGCAGAGAGAAAATGAGAACACCCAGCCATTTTCCCTGTTACTTTTAATTGTTGGCTGATGGATTTAAATCATGTCTTCATCTCCAAACTCAGGCACCAAGTTTGGTGTGGAGCTGAAAAGAATTTGATGACCTGATTTGAGAGACTTCAAGAGAAGCAAAGGGGTTTCTTTGTCCACCTGAAAATACAGATCCTCAAATAATCCAAGCCAAGCAAAAACATTTATTAAGGGAGTGGGGTTCATGTTTTTAAGAGGGCACAGAAACAAATGGTGCATACATTCAGTGTCAGGAAACAAATGAGGAAACAATAAAATACATTGATTCCTTTTGAAGTTTAAACAACAGAAAACATTGATTCTCACATACCAGATGAAGAGCCTTGGTTAAGAAGAGGAAAACAAGCAATCTTAAACTTAAAAAAGAGGTGTAACATGCCATGTTAAAAGGACTAAATATGCCATTTTAAATTAGTGAAGCCTAAAATATGAAGCAACCGCATCACACAGTCCGTTTAACTTGCTGTGAATTCACTTCCTTCCTTAGACTTTGCCTCAGTCTCCTCCTCCTCTGC